CACACTGTCTCACACGCCCTGTTTGAGCCTATATAGCGCGCCGCGCACACGCACGCACACACACACACACACACACACACACACACACACACTACCACACTAGAGCCCACTCACGATTATCGCATGTGATTCCGGTTGTTAAGTCTGACTACTAGAGCCGGATGATGGCCGTTCATGTTTACCGTGGGCCGGATAGGATTGGGCAGTCTATGCGCTCGGGAGGTGTGAGTCGTCATGCCAGTGGTATTACTGATCAGGATAGGAGGTCACTTCGTCCTGCCCCTGACGTCATGCGAGTCTATATGCGTTAGAGGCACGACGGGGGGAGGTCGGCGCGATGGAATGATGGCAGTAGGTTTAATTGGAATGTGCAGGACTAGCTCGTCATTTCCTGCCACCTTCCTCCCTCTAAATACTCTCTTAATAATATATAATCTCTAAAGAATCTTTCTCTTTTTCTCTCTCTTTCTCTCTCTTTCTCTCTCGTTCTCTCTCTTTTTCTCGCTCTCAGAGAGAGAGAGAGGATTGATTGATTGATTGATTGATTAATTAGACGATTGATTCGTTGGTTCATTGATTGATTGATTAATTGATTGATTATTGATTGATTGATAGGTTGGTTGGTTGATTGATTAATTAGTTGATTATTGATTGGTTCATTGATTGATTGATTGCAGTCAACGGCGCTGGACTCGCGATGTCTACGATGGACATCATCAAGCTGCACGGTGGCTCCCCCGCTAACTTCCTCGACGTGGGTGGTGGCGCCACCGCAGAGGCTGTGAAAGAGGCATTCCGTATTATCACGTCCGATAAAAATGTAAGTCGAGAAAGAGGCGGAAGGAAGAGAAGGTGGAAGCAAGGAGGGTGTAAGTGAGAAGGGCGCGTAAGATGGTGACGGGCAGGAACAGAGAGATACAGAGAGAGGCAGGGAGAGAGAGAGAGACAGAGGGAGAGAGAGAGAATGCACAGTTTACACACGCAGGTAGCAATCAGAGAGCTTCCGATTTGGTGGCTACGTGAGAGCGAAACTCCAACGAGGACGAATCTGGGTGACAAGACAACGAAGAACAAGGAGCAGCAGAGGGACTTTACTTTCCAATTTCCGCGCGCACGCACTGATGCAGCCGATGTCACTGTCGAGGTGGATGTAGTTGAGGTTGGAGTTTGCGGCCTGAGAGAGCGAACGAGCAAGCGAGCGAAAGCACGCACGCAAGAGAGAGAGAGAGAGAGAGAGAGAGAGAGAGAGAGAC